TGTATATTTCCTGTTGTATTTTTTCCCTAGAGAACTTAATAATAACGTCCCGTGGGGCTCCTCCCTTACTTCTCCCCTGGAGGCGGTGTGCCCTCTCAATATCTTCTGGCTGAATCTTAATGGCCTGAGCCTCCAGCCAGACTCTGCTCCTGCGAAGGGGGCTTTGGCTCTCAAAACTTCACACCCTGAACACCTGGTTGGTCTCTGTGAAGAGATGCCTTTTTCCTTTGGAGGTTTGAAATGAGCAAGACCTTCACTCTGAGTTCTAAAAGTCCCCCCCTTCTCTGGGCAGAGAACAGGCAGGGAGGTGGAAGTCAGTCAATGGCTTTTTAGGCTCACCTTAGCTACCTCTTAAGAAATGCTAATAGGTCTAGCTAGAAACAACAGGAGGGTTCAGTCTGTCGTCCCCCCCCCCCTTCTAGCGGGGAACAGGCATTAATTAGGGCTTAATAAGCCGGCCGTTTATTTCCCTGCGTTCGCTTGCTGAGATAGAGTGAGCAAACTCTTATCTCTGACCTTCTGGCTTGGCACAGCTGTTATTTAATGTTTAGCACCTAATTATATGCTAGGCTTGAAGTTGTTTTGCAGTTGTTTAAGCTGTAAATACCTTAGTGTGGTGGAGGAGCTCGGAGCCAGGCGTCCTGCCGAGTTAACGCATGTGTTACCTATTTATTTTTATTCCATTGCTCAAACTGGTGCTGTGCTAAAAATATGCATATGAAAAATTCCTTTTTAATAAATACCGTATAACTTTTGATGCTGGCAGTGGTTCTGTGTATCACATAGACCTCCACCGTCTCAGACATGCTATTTTAAAAGGGCAGCCTGGGGGGGTGTTCGCCGAATTGCTCTTTAGGAGAGACAATTGGAACAGTGTATTAATAGGGATTCTTGGTCAGTGTCTACAGAGGATGGGCTGCACCAATACGTTTCAATGAAGAGACAGAGACAGAAGTAAAATTTACTTTGGTTTACTAGATATCATTCAAAGCACACAATAACATACAGACACACAAGAATTAAGTAAAAATAGATAGATTTGGTAAAGCACGGTTGCATTAGCAGGTTGTATCGCTGAGAGGAGATATTTACCTCAGGCGTAGCGCGGCTCCTAAAGCTTCCAGCGGGAAGGAGGGCAGGAGGGGAGAAAATGGTAGAAACACGTGTAACCAGACCAGCTGAGAACACGTGGATTGCCTTAGCTGCAGACTAAAGTAAAGCGAGTCAAGGGATTGGTACAGGAAGCTGGATAAGAGAGGAGAAGCAGACGTAGAGGGGTCGTTGGTAAAAGGGAAGGATGGCGTGGCCGCTCTGTGTTCTATGTTTTAAGCTCTCTTGCGAGCGGGGAGGGGGTGGACCCAAGCAGATTACCAGGTGGCCCTACCCCAAGGGTCAGGGATTGGCTATGAGGTCAATTTTCACTCTATTGATTAACCTGAGGGGTGGTACCTGGGCAAGGGCGGGAAATACGTGCGGAGGAACCCGCAGCTGCTGACTCATCTTTGGCTATGTGGAATCAATGTCCATTGTTGTCAAGCATCGGGTGAACTCTAGGTTAATCCACTCAGGCTAGAGATCAGGTGTTAGGGCTAGCTAATGAGTTTCTGTGTTTACTGAAGACCTTGTGTTTGTCCACACGCAATAAGCAGGAGACACTGGGACCTTCTTTGGAATGATGTTGATTCAGCCGATTACCACTCTCAGCTGGTATCGTCATCTCTGAGTGCCCTCACAGTGAACTCTGTGTCACAGTCTCTTTTTATTAGCCCTTTTGCATAGCTTTATTTCATATATTATATATC